TGTGTGTGTGTGTGTGTGTGTGTGTGTGTGGTGTGCACGCACGTGCGTGTTTATGACCACAAGGCTCTGTAAGATGATAAATACATACAACAGACACTAAAAGTCTCAGTTTCCATAATTTTGCATATAAAATCAGAATCACCACATTCACAAAATTATGTTTTGTTTTCCTATGAAACTTGTTATTTTGAGGCTGCCTTAAGGGTCTGACCAGAAACCTACAGACATGTGAGGGGAAGGGGAGAGTTTCAGAAGTTATTTTTTCTAGCTCCCTCTGTGCCGCCGTTTTTCTCTTGGTGAAAGGGAGAGGAAAAAACGTAAAACCACCGTGCGGGCGGTGGGATGTCAGGCAGAAACTGCTCGCCACCCTGCAGTTTTCAGAAGCGAGTATTCTATGGGCAGGAAGCAATCACAAAGGGCAACTCAGGGACCTTGAGCGCTGAAGGCATCCACCGAGCAGACGACGCGCCGGGCCCTGTCTTGGGCTGGCGTGCAAGCGTGGCAGGGGCACAGCCTTAGCGGCCGTCCCCTCCTCCTTCAGGGCTTCCTGGTCAGGGGAGAGTGGTCAGGCCAGCATGCACACCCCTGAACTCCCCAAGCAATGGCCAGCGCTAAAGCAGAAGCAGGTAGGATGACATCTGCGTCTGGGCTGCGGCCCGGGTCTGCTCTGGAGGTGCCCTTCTGAGGGAGGAAAGAGACGCTGGCCCCTGGAGCACGTGGTAGTCCATTCCCAGGGGGATTCTCCCAGTACCCCCCACCCCCTGACTCTTCTCACTTCCCTGATCTGAAGATCATTCCTTCTCTCCCAGCCTAGCTAGAAACAAAACTCTTCCATCTGAAGATATAATGGGGGCGTGAGTTACAGTAAAGAAAATTGTGATAATAGCCTACAAACGCTCGTCTACATGGAGCAGCTGGCGTCTGTCGCCTTCTCACCCCTGCTCTGCGCCTACGGGCTCCGAAGGTCCCTCCACTAGCGAAACGTCAGCCACCTTCTTCACCAAAGCAAAACCAGACCAACTGCCTGACGGTCCTTTCTCCCACATGGAGGAAACTGTTCTGCTGCTGTTCCTAATCATTGGGGCTGCCAGAGCAGCTCTGGGGGGGCGGGGGGAGGGCTCAGCTGCAAAGCGGAAGCGGGAAGGAAGGAAGGTGATGAGGGTCGCCCAAGAAGCTTCAGAACTTAGTCCACGCGAATTTAGAGCTCCCTGTGCGCTTTGTGAAGCAGCTCCGTCCTGATGTCCTCGGCCCTGAGGCCTCCAAAAAGCCAGGAAGATCGCTGCGGCCCTCAGACCCCCTGCTTGCCTTGATACTCCATCAAGAAGGCCGCCTTTCCCCACCAGGCGCACTGGTGCCACCGAGTCATCCCGGTGTCCCTTTCTGTACCCTTTGAAGAATCCCAAGAGGGGAAATCTAATAAGAGGGAGCGAAAGACCAGGCCTTTTACCATCTTCTTGTGGGGGGGGTCCGTCCTCTTCCTCCACAACATCATTTCCCTAGGACAGAAGGAAGGCGCTATGAGTCTGTAAAAGCAGTAAAATGAATCTGTTGATCAGCTGAAGACAGAAGTAATTGGCCTAATGGTATCTCACTCCAGGGCCTACGTCAATGGCATACATCTCCCGTCGTGTCTGAGGGGCCCGGGAGGCTGAGCAGAGACAGATTTTCCTTGGTGAGGCATGGTCTGCCCGCAGGGACCGCGTCTGAGGCCCGTCACAGATGTGCCCGGGGAATGTCAAGAATAGCCTTGGTAACAGTTTAGCTCATACTGTCTCTGTCTCTTGAAGGTGGAAATAAAAGTTGTCAAATGAAAAGGTAAATAGTAAGATCATGGAACTTTCAGAAATTCCTTTGGGATCCCAAACCCCAACGGGCTCTACTCCCGTGAGAGCATCTGGCTCAAGAAAGAGTGCTAGTGCCCTCACTGTGACCTGGGCCTGTCATGCACTTCCCGAATACCTTCATCAGGGCATTCTCATACTGAATCGTAATCCTGTCCGCACCATCTGCCATGGGGCTTCTAGACGAACAGGACATTTAGTGACTCTACACACAACATGGGGCTCGAACTTACGACCCTGAGATCAAGAGTTGCAAGCTCTTGTGACTGAGCCAGCCGGGCGCCTCTGCATGAGTCTGTCTATACAGTCAGGGTCGGGGGGGAGGCCAACACCAGGTCACTGGGGTCTTTGTGTCATCCCGTGCCAGGAGGTGCCTGAGACAGTCATTCTGTGTAAATACTGAGCGAACGAAGGACACACACGCTCAGGTGGAGGGTCCGACCCAGAACAGTTCCCTCTAGGACCCATTCCACACCTGCTACACTGGGACTGGCGCACGGTGCCGTGGGACAGTCCACTGACCGGAGTGCGTGGCCACTCTCCCCTGCACACCACACCCCACCCCCAACTGAGCCAAACCTGCCACCTTAGGAGGCCTCTTCCAGAACAGCACCCATCCTACCGTGCCCCCCCACCTCCGCCAGCGCCAACAGCCCCACCATCGGCGTTACCTCTGCGTCCTGCTCCTCGGCGGCGAGGCCGACGAAGTTGCTGTCCGGAGATGCTGCCGGCATCACCTGCCACAGAGCAACAGAGATCAACGCACAGACAGACCCAGCTCGCAGGGCTGCAAAACCGACCCGAGCTCTCGGCACGGAAGTGGCACCAAAGAGAAGGGTCAGAGGTGAGGGGTGTTTGATTCAACGACCCCACCTCGTCTGCCAGGCCCTCCTTCCGAGCCCGGTGGGCACTCGGCAGCTGTCCCCCCGGCAGACCGTGGGGCGAGCTGCCCTGGCCGCGTGTGCCGAGTCACGGCAGCAAGGACCGTCCCCAACCCCGGGCTCCTCCTCCCTCACCTCTCCTTCTTCTGAGGGGGCCCTGCTGGCGGCCCGGGGTGAAGGGAGCGCCTCTCCCTCTTCTTCAGTGCCGGGGGCGATGTAAGAGCCGGACATGGAGGAGACCGTGTCGGTGCTGATCTGGGAGTGGCGGCTCTGGGAGGACACCATGGACATGACGGACTGGGCCAGACTGCTGCTGGCAGGGTCTGGGGAGGCCGGAGCGGAAGGAAGGAGACGGGAGGTCAGGCTTCGCGAGCGGACTGAGGAGCGGACCCACCTCCCTGTGCTCAGGCAGCGAGGACCACAGCGGCCACACCGCACCCTTACCTAAAAAGCTTCGGGTTCAAGGTTTTCCGAGGTTCTGCCCCTTTGCATTTTAGAGCTCAGGACTCTACCCCGGGAGCCAGGGTTTGCCAGGGTTTGCTCGTCTCTGACTTAATGTTACAGGAACCACTGACAGCAGGCCGGGAAACAGGCGAGGACTCCTGCCCCCCTGCCTGGCTGTCAGCAGGACCCCCTTGCCTCTGACTTTGGCCTCGCTAGTCACGCAACTTAGGTCTATCAACCTGCTGGCCCAAGTCCATCCTGGAGGAACTGTCAGGGGTGCTGAGCGCTGGGCCGAGGGGCCGAGCGTGCAGTCCCCCTCCCTCATGTACCTTCTGGGGAGGAGATTGTGGAAGAGAGAGGCGTCCCTGTGCAAGACGACTGGTCAATAGCTCCCGACGATGACATGGTAAGATTCTCACTTTCTGGAGTTATGCCACATTCCTGGAGGGAAACAGTTAAGTGCAAAGGGAAGGGTGTCAGGGCAGGGGGCTGGCTACGGAGGGTGAGGGGGGCATCGGGGGCGCTGAGGGCCCCTCCATCAGGGGGCTACGTGCAGAGGAGGGGCGGTTTCTCTTGTCCTCACTTCTCTGCCACCCTGGCCTGGAATGGCTGTCTCCCAGGGGAGGCGCAAACTTCAGTCAGCACATCCTGCCTGAGGCACAGCATCTGCTAGGGCCATACAAAGACTGCAGCTCAGGTGACACAGGTCACCCAGCAGCTGTGACACGGGAACACCCCAGGTTTCCCCAGGATTATAAACCGCTTTCCTTCTGAAGGAGAACACAAAACCAGCAGAGGCCTCACTGCCTGCCAGGCACCTCCGCTTGGATATCGGGTTAGTTCCAGCTCAGTCGACCTAACACAAACACTACCTTTGCCTCCCCACCCACTCCCGACACCCCAGCTATCGGTCACCTGGGCCAGTACCCTCACCCCATCCCAGGCAGATGGGGATTCTGCCCCTATAACCTTTTCTCCAGGAGTTTTGTTTGGTTTTAAGTAGTCTCCACACCCAACGTGGGGCTTGAGCTCACGACCCTGAGATCAGGAGTCACGTGCTCTACTGACTGAGCCAGTGGATGCCCAAGGAGCTCTGTGTTTATTGTAGCTCAAGGATTCCCTCCCGCCTGGGCCAGTGGAGTCATCCTGACGGCCTGCTGGAATCTGGGCGGCCACTGTGTGCCTCCGTCAGGCAGGCCTTCCTACAGCAAAGCTCTCCCAGACAGCGGGCCTGCTCAGAGCCCCGGCCTCCGCCCTACACCTCTGTGTGCCCTGCCCTGGCCATCTCAGATGCTTCTGTCGCCTTTCTCTAGGAGTTTAAAACACGCTGAGAGTCAGCTCAAATGCTACTCCTCCACTCTGCTCCCCTGGTTGATAACTGCTCCTGTCTCTGCCACAGCACTTTACTGTCCCTTCTTCTCTATCGTTAAAATTCACTCAGCGGGGCACCTGCGTGGCTCAGTTGGTTGAGCGTCCGACTTCAGCTCACGTCACAATCTCCGTTCAGGAGCCTGAGCCCTATGTCAGGTTTGCTGCTGGCAGCGCAGAGCCTGTTCTGGATCCTCTGCCCCTCTATCTGCCCCCCCCCCCAATAAATAAAACATTAAAAAAGATTCATCTATTCATCCATTCAGCAAACAGTGCTAGGCACAGCACTGATACTTGTGTGCGTGTCCTGTCCCCAACCAGACACTGAGCTCCCAAGGTCAGGAACCACTTCATCAGGTTTGCCTGTTCACTCTCCCTAGCTCACCGCCGTACAGAGAGCGGGGGTAATGAACCTGTTCAATGAAGCCTGTGGGGGGCACGGGTGGCAAGCCCCGCCCTCTTCCACCGGCCTCCCAACGCACCTCTGCTGGGCCTTCCTGCTGCCTGTTCCCACGCCCGCAACCTGCTCTCCTCAGACATCTGCATCGTTCACTCTCTCACCTCCTTCCGTCTTGGTTCACAGACTACTTTTTACAGACAGCAGCCCCCACCTCTGGCCTTGAACTCCCTTGTCTGACGAGCCAATCCACAGCACGGTCTGACACACCCCTTTTCTCCTGTCTTTGCGTCCATCCTAGCCCCGATAGCAAGAATATCAGCGCCACCAGGGCAAGGACTTTTGTAGTTTCCTTACTGCTACTGTTCTCAGCATACAGAACAGTGCCTGGTAGAGAACACAGGCTCAATATATTGTTGAAAAGATGGACGTAATGAAATCTTTGCTGCTGTCTCAAAGGGTGTTCCAAGGTGCCCGAGGAACGAACGAAGGCAGACGGACCTGGAGAGGCCTGTGGGACTTAAGAACCTGTGGTCCAACGTCCGAGAAACGGAGGGGAATTAAATTACCTCTTCAAGATGCTGAGCTGAGGGTCTCTGAGAGAGCGGTGTCTCTGACTCGCTGCAAGAACGCTCGTCTTCCTCTTCACGCAACACAGAAGAGTTCTGGGAAACAGACCTGTAACAGTCCGGAGGGGAAAGCATCTGGCGCCAAAATCCACACGAAGAGGGGGACTGGCTTGTACTGTCACGAGCCGGACTCCATGGGAAGAAGAGGCCCGAGAGGGGACGGAAAGGAAGCCCAGGTCTTAAGGAGGAGGACGGAGGTGGGAAAGAGCCCTAGGGGTAGCCTGAGTGCTTTTCGGGGTGTCAGAAAATCTGGGCTTTACCTTTAACTCCTTTAGTAACTTGTGTCTGTACCTGGGGAAAAGTCACTGACATTTTTAGGGTCTCAACATTTTCATCTATAAAATACGCTCCTTAACTCTGCCACAGAAAGCTTATCATGACTTGTGCCTAGTTGGATTTAAATGCTTATGAGGTACAGGTACAGATTACAAGGTTCCTTCAGTCTTTAGACTGAGCGACGCTCCCCACAGGCGTCAATGACCCTAGGGATGTCCTTTTCCCCCCCAAAACACATGAGATTTGCCTGTCTGGATTCTCCTAAGTACCCACAGGTACCGTAAGTATCTTCCTCACCTATGGAATGGGGTAACCTTCTGCCAGAGTGTTCACCCCAGGTCTTAAGTGGGACAAAAAAGCTCCGGGAACAACCCAGAAGGTCTACGCTGCCCTGGGGACCCAGGACGTGAGCCAGCACTGAGGAGGTGACAGAAGGAGTGAGAGCCTATCATCAGGGCCTTGAGGGGCAACATTGTCGAGCACCAACCACTCACTTGGAGAGACTCTTTTTGAGCTCGATTCCTTGGCTGCTACAGTCGGACAGGCGGTCGAGTGGAGAGAGCGTCCTGACAGGAGGCAGGTGGCCATCACTGCCGTACGAGGGGAGCATTCCTGAGAGGTGGCCGTCTCCAAGCACGTGAAGGGCAGGGGCCGCTGGGGATGGGGTGAGGGGCCCATTGAGGGCCTCCAGAAGAGACACAACTTCATAACCTGGTGGAATGTTCTCTGAGGACTAGGGGAATCAGAGACAGGTTGAAAAATTAATTAAGTACTCTTTGTTTTATGACATGATCATGTTTCTCACTCTACACTGAAAAAAAAAATGTTTTCTTTTACATCTGGTCTGGCAAGAAAAGCTTCTGCAAAGGAGGCCAAAGAAAGACACAATGTCAGGGAACCTGCATATTCCTACATTCCGCTTACAGGCGAACATCTTCTCAGCAATGTTTATTTTTCTGATTGTAATGGGAATACAGGTTCGTTACAGGGAATACGTGTTCATTACCGCGAGATCACAACCTAAGCAGAAATCAAGAGTCAGACGCTTAACTGACGGAGCCCCCAGGCGCCCCTATCTGTAAATCACAATTTTATATTCTGCTTTATTTTAGCAAATGTAAGTATTTTCCTTCATACACGTCCCCTTGTCACAGATTCCATGTTTCCTACCTGTTCTCTGCCCGGGATTTAGCTGCATCCACCATTTCCTACTGTAAGCAACATTTTGAGGAACATCCTTGTGTACAGATCTTTTATTGTTTTTGGAGATTTAATTGGCTTCATTAAGCAATTCGTGAGGCGGGCAACATCCCATCTAGCACGGAGAGAGATGCTACCACAAATCTTTTTTTTTTTTCCACATTGTTTTCTCGGTATTAAATTCTTAGATCTTCGATGACCAGATACAGATGTTTTTAAGGCGCTTGATGTATACAGCTATGCGGTTTTGTTTCTTCAAAGAGCCTTCTAGTCACACTCCTATAAGCAGCACAGAAAACCTATTTCAACTGCTTCTCTGACAGCATGGAGTATCTTTAAGAAGCTTTCGAATCTAGGGGCGGCTGGGTGGCTTAGTCGGTTAAGTGTCTGACTCTTGGTTTCAGCTCAGGTCATGATCTCATGATTGGTGGGTTTGAGCTCTGTGTGCAGACAGCGTGGAGTCTGCTTGGGATTCTCTCTCTCCCTCTCTCTGCCCCTTCCCTGCTCATGTTCTCTCTCTTTCTCTCAAACTAAATATATAAAACTTAAACAAAAAAAAAGCTTTCGAATCTGAAAGGTGAAAAATGGTACCTCATTTTATTTTTTTTTAATTATTATTTTTTTGTTTGAGAGAGAGAGAGAGAGAGAGAGAGAGAGAGAGAGAGAATGACAGAGGGGCAGAGAAAGAGAGGGACAGAGGATCTGAAGTGGGCTCTGTGCTGACAGCAGCCAAGTCCAATGTGGGACTTGAACTCACAAACCAATGAGATCATGACGTGAGCCTAAGTTGGATGTTCAATGGACTGAGCCACCCAGGCGCCCTGGAACCTCATTCTAATTGATTGGTATATGGTGGATCTCTAATGTGGTTGACTTAAAAAAAAAAAAAGATTGTTAACCAGTTAAGCATTCTCTTCTGAGAATTAAAAAAAATATATTCTGGGGTGCCTGGGTGGCTCAGTCGGTTAAGCATCCGACTTTGGCTCAGGTCATGATCTCACAGTATGTGAGTTCAAGCCCCGCGTTGGGCTCTGTGCTCACAGCTCAGAGCCTGGAGCCTGCTTCGGATTCTGTGTCTCCTCGTCTCTCTGCCCCTCCCATGCTCATGCTCTGTCTCTCTCTGTCTCTTAATAATAAGTAAATGTTAAAAAAAATTTAAAAAAAAAATCCTTTGTCCATTTATCTACTGTTTTATCATATGAGCCATGGCAAAGACATTGTCTTTCCTCTGATATAAATGCTGAAGACATTTTTTTCTTTAAATGATTTGTTGTTTACCTATTTTAATTTTTTACACATATGAACTTTCACATTTTTTATACGGTAAAATCTACCCTTTTTTTTTTTTTGTAGTGTTCCTCTGCTTTTAAGCTTAGAGAGTCCTCTCCCATGCCAAGTCAATTAAAGAATCACCTACAATTTATTCTCAGTCTTTAATATTTGGTTTGGTTTCGTTCGCTTTAATATAGTTACTCTATCTGGAATTTTAGTTGTTAATCTGGTAAGGAGTAAAGTGCTAGGCTGATTTCTCCTCCCTAAATAGCTAACTAATTACCCTAATACCATGTACTGAACAATGGCTCTCTTCTACTGGTGTATGAATCTGAAGACGGTGTCTGCTACGACAGCACAGCTTCAAGGCTGCGTTCTAACGCCATCACTTATGCTGTGAAACCGAGGTGAAATATTTCATCCACTCGGGTTGCAGTTGCTAAAGCCATGAAATGGGATAAAGAAAACAGTTACCTTCTTCGAGGACTCGGATAAAGACAGTAAACTGTATTCAAATCCAAAACAATCATCCCCTTGTTTCTGCTTGGGGGGAGTTCCAGAGCTGGACCCCACTGGGAGGAGGCTGCACGCAGACAGCTCTAGGCGTCGTAAATATTAACTGGACGCCCAGTTCCCAGGGAGGAAAAGGGGGATTTAATGATCAGTATCCAATTTTCCGTGGTAATACCGGTCGGTTTTAACACAATGTGACCTCAGCCAGCTTACCAAATACTGCAGCGTGCCAGGGTTTAATTACTTGTTGCAAAGTCAGGTAAAGAAGGGTGAGAGGTGAAAAAAAAACCCAGCAAGGAGAGCAGAATACCTGCCTCACAAACGGTCACGGTGCCCAGCCCAACTTACTGAATGCTCTTCCGAGTCAGACGTCTGAGACGAGATGATGGGGTTAAAGCCGGTTGGGGACAAGGGGCCCAGTTTTTTCCTCATGGCCCGGATCTGAAGCAGTGCCCGGAAGGCTGGAAGCAGGAAACAGGCCATCGGGCCATCCTGATGCAGGAGTCAGGCCACACGCAAGCCCGGGCAGAAACCACAGTCCCCCCACCCCCACCCCAGTGTCGGTCAGTTCGCAGACCCCGCTGTCGGGTCCCGGCCTGCGGTGCTGGCGCTTACGCAGTCGGCAGATGGGGCAGTTGTTGGCCTGGTAGCGCAGGGTGTCCGCACACGTGTTACACAGGCAGAGGTGGCGACAGGGCAGAATCAAGGTGTCGCGGACATCCGAGAGACATACCACGCACTCAGCGCTGTTATCGCTCACTTCATCCTCAGCCACCTGTCCCAGGAGACAGAAATTCAGCCGGTGACACAAAGCCCTTCGTGTCCTCCATTTTCTTCACAAGCAGCTTTGCCTGAAGAGCTGAGACAAGTGGTAAGAACAAAACCTTACATTTGCTTTGGACTTAAAAAAAAAAAAAAAAAAAAAAAAAAAGTTTATTTATTTTTGAGGAAAAGAAAGGCAGAGAGACAGAGAATCCCAAGCAGGCCCTGTCAGTACAGAGCCTGACGCTCTGTGCTGGGGCTCGATCCCATGAACTGTGAGATCATGAACTGAGCCCAGATTAAGAGCTGGATGCTCAATGGACTGAGACACCCAGGCACCCCTGCTTTGACTTGACTTTACCGTTCAGCAAGTGCGTTCACATACTGGTCAGTATCACTTCTTCTGGGAACTATTTATCTCAAGCTCGTCCTGTGGGGCTCAGATCTGTCCTCTCCGACAGATCTGGCGGGGCCCTAGGAGACCACACCAGGAAAGGCAGGGGCCATGTAAGAACCCGGCCAGGTAACTGAGTGACCAGAACTCTGCAGAACAACTGATCCCAGCCTGCCTGTGGTTTTCATTTTGGAAGTGATGTAAGCATAAGCATCTGAAATAAGGAACAAGAGAACACCCTCCTAGGACCAAACTGATTCCAGAGTTGGTCATGCTAAACCCTGAGATCCCACCTTCATCAGAGCATTTCTTACTCCGTCCCCAGGGAAAAAAGTACATTCAGAATTTCGGATGGAACTTGCCTTAGAATCCTGGGTGTTGTACTTGTTTTCAATTCCATAGATCTCCTGAAGGAGGTAGCTGACCCCATCTACCTGAAGAGCAAACAGAGAAGTTCAAGGGCAGGCTGACTCAACAGAGATAAGTAGGAACTTGCCCCTCAACCTTCTCTGGTAGCCAAGGACTACTGATGCACAATGAAAAAAAGCAAAGGCCTAGACAAGTAAGGATGCTTTTTTTTTTTTAATTAAAAAAAAAAAAAATTTTTTTTTAATGTTTATTTACTTTTGAGACAATGCGAGAGACAGAGTGCAAGCAGTGGAGGGGCAGACAGAGGGAGAAACAGAATCCGAAGCGGGCTCCAGGCTCTGAGCTGTCAGCACAGAGCCCGACGTGGGGCTGGAACTCACGAACTGTGAGATCATGACCTGAGCCGAAGTCGGATGCTCAACTCACTGAGCCACTCAGGCACCCCAAGGATGCTTTTATTTACTTATGTTTTCTCTTTGACAGAGAAAAGGAAATCCAATGTTTGATTCACCCACCATTATACCCAACAGGGAACATGAAAGTTCACAAATACAACACTAATCTGTGTACTGCAGCTCACTATTCCGGACAGTTAAGAAGGGATAGACTAAGCAAATGGAAGAATGTGCATCAAAACAGAAGCATCAGCTATGTATCCAAAGTTAAGTGTAGACATTACAAAACCAAAGGAATGGAAAAGAGAAAGCAAGAAAGCAAGAAAGAAAGGCAAGGGAAAGAGGGGAAAGGAAAACATCTGAAGCAAAGAGAGACAGAAAGATCTTGAAGGGGAGGCCAATGGAGCCCCTCCATCTGCACGAGCCACCGTCACCTACAGAGCCAAGGACCCCTCTTGGCCCTGTTCCTTAAAACCCCAAGTTCAATGCCCACTCCCACTAGCCTAGCCACGCCCGAGCCAAAGCAGGCCCTTTTCTCGTTTCTTTACACGAGCCCACTCCTCCCTCGGCTTCACCTCTGTCCCACTGATCCCCTCCCCTCAGACCTAGCCTGTCACTGATTTTATACCTCACTCTCCGGTGTGACAGAGTCAGTTGCTAATGCCAAGCTAGCAATAGGAAAATAGACCATTTACCTTGAGCTACCGTAGCCTTTCCATCCTATCTAGGCGTTCTGGGAAATGAGGCCTCCCCATGGGACAACTCACCAAAGCCTGGCCGTGGCAGGCAGTACTCTGGGCCCAGGATCTGTTTCCTCCTGTGTCTCTTAAAACTTGTTTCGACCTACTGATTCTAATGGAAAGGATATTATCAACAGATTTAGACTAAGGTGTTACTGACTACTATTGGCCTCAGTAATGAATAACTCAGAATTTCAGACACCTGTCACCCATCTGCAGGGGAGGCCGGCCAGTGCCACTGGCACCACTCTCCAGGACTCTCCGCTCACCGTTGCAAGAGTGGGAAAAAAAGTGCTGGCACACAGCAGGGGTTAGGCCTTTGAGCAGACATATGCGTGACTTGCTGGTCATCCCGGAAGACGGCAGATGGCCAGGAAACTTGGAATTTTAGAAAAACACTTGGTGGGATAAATTAAGCCAAGGGCCCTAACTGGCTCTGAATTGGACCCCGACATTTTATCCTTTAGCTCGGAATGTTTCTCGCCCTGGCATTTTCAATGAAAAGAGTTCTCCCTAAACCTAATGTCAAGAGACAAATCCTGTTCTTTCCTTTCTCAAGACCTTTGCTCAGATAATGGCTGCCTCCACGCCAACAATTCTGGAACAAGAAAGACACCAAAGTCAGTATTCTTTTCAGGCCACCCAAGGAGTTTCTAACACACAAAAGCACTCTTTTTTTTTTTATTTTAACTTTTCTTGGATTAAAAAAAAGGGGGGGAGTGGAAGAGAAAGAAGCATGCTTAGCAAAAGAGAAAAAGAGAGAGATGAAAAGAAAGAAGTCTGGGGGGGGGGGCCAACGATCCCCGGCCCTCAGATACCTACCACTTGTTTCTGTTTGAGGGGCTTGACACAGAATGACCCATCGGTGTGCTGGAATGAAACACGACCGTTAGGACCAGGAAGCAGGGGCAGGAACCGGGAGTTCTCGGGCACTCCTCTCAATGACACCTGCGTGCGATGGCACACTCCTCACGCCGCGGGGCCTCACGAGCATCTAGTCTGACCCTTCCGTCTCGGGAAGAGGAGACTGCGGCCTCGAGAGCTGCAGGTCGCGCAGCACGTGGGCGGCAGAGCGGGACCGAGGCCCGAGGGCGGCCCCCAGTGTGGTGCTCCTCCCGCTCCGTGGGGAGCTGGGCCTGTCCTGCCGCGCTCAGGGAGCCGGCCAACAGGCCGCACGCGTCCCCGCACAAAAGACAGCTAAACAGAACCGAGTGAGGCCCTGTGAAGCTACTCACCTTTTCAAAAGTGCCCAGCAGTACATGGCAATGGCCAAAATACTCTGAAAAAAATAAAGGCACGCGGATGAAGGAGGAAGCCAAACGGCACACCTTGCCACCCATCTATCTTCCCCGATTCCCCCCAACCCGGAAGACCAGACGCTCTGGGCCGTCAGGAGAAGGGGCCCGTCCCCTCACCCAGGGCTGTTCTCATCAGCCTAAGGAGTGCAAGGGGCATGGAAACCGGCTGCCTGATCCCCACGGAGGGGGCGTGTTGTTCCCGAGGCCACAGCGACTGCCCGGCCTGTGCACCACAAAAGGGCAGCGCGTAGAGCAAAAGAAGACAGAGAACGCCCATTACCGTCTCCTTCATCCACCACTGCGTGGACCACTAAAGGGTAAACCTCTCGGTCCAGATCAAAGCCAAGCTGAAGGGAAAGAAAAGGGGGGGAGGGGAGGAAAGACTTAACACGTTTAAATGGCCCAGTAGTCCATCAGAAAGGGAGACATCGTCAAGAAGCATTAACTTCATCTCTGCTCTCATTCGTCAACTTCGTGACCACCTAAGTCTGTTTAACTGGAGGCCACCGTTGCTTTCTAAAGTCTCATGGCTGTGAAGCCCTCTAACTGGCAGGTTCTTCTCTTTGAACGTGACTTTCTCAAAACACCCGGGGTGAACGCGCTACTTTGGAACAGAAAAGCTATCGACATGAGGTGTGTTTTAAGGGCAAGGAGAAGTTACAGCGCTGAAGAACATGGCCTCCCAGCATCTGGGCGGTCCGGGCACTGCCGGCCGGAGTCCCGACTAGGTCCTAGGCCCGTCTGGGTCCACGTGAGGGACCTGCCCCCACGCTTTCTCCCAGCAGCCTGTCACCGCCCCCGGAGGCAGCTCACCTCCTCTTCTGCCCACTCTGAGGGGTCCACGGTGTGGGAGGGCAGGCAGAACTGCTGGCCGACCCCTCGCTTGTAGTGCACCGTCTCCGACTGGAGGCTGTTGTCCTTGGGGATGTAGCTGTCCATCAGGGAGGGAGACAAAGCAAAAGTCAGTATCTAGCCCGGAAGGATCTGACCGCTTCCTCCGTCCCACGCCTGGTCTCAGTATCAGCGGGCTCTAGGTACAGAAAAGGAAAGGAAATATTTCCTTCTAATGTGTCCTTTGCTCTTGCTTGGGAACGCCGTTAAGATTGTATGTCCAACCCACACATCCGCACAAAGGTGGCTTAACAGATTTTTAGCAGCATCTTGATGAAATGCAAGGTTGTGCCACCATCTGCCGCTGCACAAGCTGGCCCAGATTGAAGGGAAAAGGCAAAGAGGTGGGGCTCTGCAGAAGAAAGTCTGAGCTCAGGAACCAGATCTCACCCGGTCCGTAGGTTTTTTTTCCCACAGGTGAGCTCGGAAGGCTCGCCTGTCTGGGAGGGATGTGGCTCACCTGGCCTCTCGTTCTTACCTGGCAATCCCGTTCTGGAACTCTTCCGTGGCCTGATAGTAGATGGTGATGGCCACCCGAGCGTCAGTGTCAAAGGTGAACTCCACATTGTAGTGGACTTTAGCTCTGCCTGCCTCTTCTCCCAGGGTCTTCACTTCCTCGGCACACCTAGAAAACCAGAAAGACGTGGCATTTGGGAGCTCGCAAACCAGTTTTCAATTTATCTTTTACAAATTTTTACACTTCATACATAGTGAGCTTCTCTCCAGGGTCGGAAACTTAGGCCTGCACCTTCATTTCGAGTGATGGCTGAACACCCCGTGAGCACTGCTGTTGGGCATTTAGGTGACTTCTGATGTTTTGCGGTGCTATAATGAACATTTGTGCATTTGCCAGACCTGTTTTTCTTTTTTTTTTTTCTTTAGTTTTGTCGTAATCGAAGTTACTAATCACATAGCTTCGTTTCCGCGGGGCTTGTTACTATCATAGCAGGCCCTCCCCCCTCCTTTCCCCCTCTTCAGAGACAATCTTTACCTCGTTTAGCTGATCATTGTCACATTTACCTATTTTCTATACAACATGCTCAGATTATCCTTTTTATTTTTTTAAATGTTTTTATTTTTACTTTTGAGACAGAGACAGACACAGACACAGAGCACAAACAGGGGAGGGACAGAGAGAGAGGGAGACACAGAATCCAAAGCAGACTCTAGGCTTAAGCTGTCAGCACAGAGCCTGACGAGGGGCTCGAACCCATGAACGGTGAGATGGTGACTTGAG